ACAGGTGAAAACTCAGGGAGGAATCTTTCACAACCGCAATGAATTCCCCTGAGTAGCTCCCCCCGATGCAAGAAAGGGCAATATGGGCCTTGACCGTCATTGGGGAACATTAGCCTTGTTCTCATAAAGCTGCAGAGTATGAATGGGAATATCAATGAGGATACAACAGTTTGTCATATCATAGCAAGTATTAAATGTGAAATACTGTCAATTACTGATCATAACCATCACCAGTTTTTAAAATGTTTTGATTAGGAAAAAATAAATTACATACTTTTAAAGTTATTTTTGACATCCACCAGAGCTGATTAGTTTTAACCACTCCTTCAGGGAGAAAAATTAAAATAATAAGAAGGTTGCATTTGATTGTATGGTATTAAACCACTATGCTTTATGTAACTGTGAAGGGAAATGGACCACTGACTCACAATACTTTTGAAAAGCTGACCTCTTTGCTGACTGGAGCTCCAATTACAAGTTAATTGTCTTCTTTGGGGAGCTGTTTAGGCTTCTGTTATTTCTTGGGACTCCCTCATAGCTGACAATATACTGACCCATTTTTTTCTGTGTTTATTACAATAGTACCTACAAATCCCAGCCACAGAGCACAGTACAAAGAATTGCGTGTGTGACTGGGACGCTGAACTGGATTCTGCTCCTGCTAAACTCGGTGAATGTTTGTGATCAACTTAAAGAGAGCAGAGAACCTTAATGAGAACATAGCCGTCTAAAGAAACGGGGCAAGCATGGAGCAGGACTGATCTCGGGTTCTTCTCTGGAGGTTCTTCCCTGTTTTGTTGTAACTGTTGTGTAACATGCTTGATTCGCTTCTCTTTCTTGCTTCATTTAAAGGCAGCTGGAATCTTCATCCTGGGTTGAATAGGAGCTAAATCTCACACCTCATTTTTATTTTGTTAGTTCATATGTTTTATCAAGTAAGGATGATAATCGGCACTGTTAGAAGCTAGAGAATTCAGAAAATATACTGTTAGGATTAATTGCAACATTAGCACAAGAGTTGTAACCCTTGTATTGTAACCCTTGAATTTGTCTTATTTCCTTCTAATGTTGTTACCATTTATGTCTGTTCACGATGTCTCGTTCTTAAACCTAATTTTAAATCGGCAGCTTTACCCTTTGCACTTTGTTACCTTGGCCAGAGTTATTCTGTGTGACTCATTATGCCTATTGAAGCACAATCCATCAGGTTATTTGGACACCATAGCAGTAATGAGGTTAATTAATCAATCGCTATCCTCAGAGATATAATTCTAGTCAAATTTAGTATTTTTCTATTAAAAAAGATATCAGTATTATTCCTGATATTTTCCATATGTTGATCAGATCTCACAGTTTCTATCTGTGTGGCAGTGTATGATGCATTGATATTGCTTACAGTCATTAGTTCCTTTCATAATCACTTCAGTATATCTGCAAACAAATGAAGTACTTTTCAGCCATACTAGGCATGTAATCCCTCCTCAGTAATCTTCAGCTGAATGGTCTCTTCTGAGATCCCTCTTCCTTGCAAGGCCATTCACCAAAATAGTAAGTCATCCTTTGTTAGAGCTCAGAAACAACCTCTTGTTTATCTGCCTTTTTGAGCAAAAGTTTTCCCCTCAAGTCAGCTGAGAGTTATAAGGTGCTCCCAGCTTCTGGGCAGCTGAGGGAGGAGAAGGTGACCAGAAGTGCTGGACCTCAATGAAATGAGATATTGCAGGACTGATGCTCGGGAACTAGCTGTAATCGACCCCTGGGGTTTATAGCTCCACTAGGAGCCGTATTCTGTATAGACGGTGTGCAGAGGGGAGAAACAGCTCATGTGGTATAAAATCGGATGATAGGAACAAAGTTTGTGGATTCGGACTAGACAGGATGGTGCAGTTTTCCAGGGTGGATGCCGAACAGGGCAGATGCCTTTGTGAGTGCGTGTCTCCTTGACAATGAAAACATATTTTAAAACCGAGTACCCCTTCTTCTGCCAGTGGGAATGAGCTAGGAAGAGGCTGCGGATTCTGAGTTCGTCTGTCATTCCAGGATGTAAAGCTGACTTTGATATTGAGGAGGTACAAAAGCTGAATAAATCCCTCTTTATCTTCCTGTGACCATAAATCGTTTGCAAATCTGCCTCAGCAGGCAGTCAGGGTCTCTGTATGGAGAGAGTCTGTCCGCATATTTGTGAGAAAATCAGTGTGAAGTATATGTAGATTTGACTTCTTGCTTAGAGCAAATAAATATGTAATATTTCCACTTCTCTGCATAAAGATTTAGGTAGGTATTGTAGGATATTACCATCATTTTTTTAAACATGGTTGAGTTTCAAAAACTAAAAGCCATTTTTTCCCCTCTATGACAGTTACTATGTGATCTCCTGAACAAGCCTCCTAATCAACACAAAAGTGACAAAAGGAACAGAAGTGTCTGGCTTTCTGCCAGTTTGACTGTCCCAAAGCAGTACTAATAAAATCTCTGAAGGATTTGCTGTCTATTTATAGTGCCATTTATATTCACTAGATTCAGTAAGAAAAGTAGCTTCCTCCAAGCAGTCAGTGTACAAGATAAATGGGAATGAACTTTCTCCCTGTTAGCTCTGTTGCTGTTACCATTGCCATAGAATAGTAAGTGAAAAAGCAATAAGAAGAGTAACGGACTTAGAAGACTGTAGAATGATGAATAGTTGGAAGGGGGTTATTTTTTAATTTCAGAAGAGGGCAAAACAAATTTTTACTATTTTATATTTGAGAAGTAATAATTGATCTTATGTCACTTAAATCATATTCATTCAAAACCTAAATTGTACCTAATCCTTAGAATAATATTGCAGTGGTAAGTGATGAATTATGAGTTCCACCGATACATGAGGAAATGAGTTGGCAAAGATTTGAATGATCTGACCGTGCTCACATCTGATATATTAGTCCATAAATCAGAACTGGCCTTCTGAAACCCAGACCTGTCTTTGTCACATGGCCCAAGTATCTGGCAGCGCAGCACCTACTGTGTACTGCTCAGATGAATGTATGCTGTGATTTGAAGATGATACTGTTAACTAAGAGTTTTTTTGGAGAATTTAAAAATTCTTTGGAACCACTGGTAAGATGTGGTGGTAAATACAGTGTAAGTCGTAGGCATCAGGTAATGTTCATAAACTGTTTTCAGTGTGGTATTAAAGCATCCATAGGCTGTTGTGGCTGGACCCTCACTGTGACTCCTTGACAGGAGAAGGCATTGAGAGCCTGGAGGATTTTGCAGGGCTCCATGGGCACCAGAGTCTCACCAGAGCAGGAAGAAGCTGCTGCTTTATTTCAACAACTAAAGAGCACTCTCTCGTTCTTTACCTTTAGCATAGAGCTGGCTTCAGTATAACCAAGTGATGATTTACAGCAGGTGGTGAGTTAATGGCTATGGCAGACACCTGTGTAGGGTTATTGACTCTAGAGGCAACGCTGCCAGGGCTGTGCTGCAGAGCCTTGGTGGGGCTGGGAGCATGCTCCTGGCGAGGGTGCTGCTTGGGGCTTGCTCCCTGCTTCAGGGGGCTTCCCTGGGAAGGGTGTAGGGTTTAAGTGACCTGCTTGGAGAGGCGAGCAGGGAAGAAAGGAAGTGGTTATTAGGAGGCCTGAAAAGCACAGGGAGTGTGCAAGACAAAGTTGTTAATGCTTTGTCCAGGAAGCATGCTGAGAAGAAAGTTGTGTTCCTCTCTGAGGCTAAAGGTCAGTAAGTTGATGATGGCCTTCTTATTGCTGTGATTTACTCTGACCAGGGCAGTTTGCACCAGTTTCTTTTCTGTGAATGGTAAGTGTGCCCCTTGAAGGGTATAGGGTCCTACTAGAATCATATCAGGTACTTAGGAGGTACAAACAGATAATTAAAGCTGATGTAGTGTGGCTCTTCTGATATTCCTGCTAACGAGGGCTTTTAAAGTAGTTAAAAAAAATGGGATTATTAAAATATGTTAATTAGTGGTGCAAACATAACTTCAGGCTGGAGTGATCAGAAAGTACTCTCCACAACTGGCATGCTTCTGGTGCATAGAAGAGACTCTCTGCACATCCTGTCTTATTCACATCCCATAATCTGCTGGGAATTACTGTTGATGTTTTCTATGTACAGGTAAAAGTAATTTTACCTGTAGCGGAAGGGGGGTTATGTACTACCTAGTCCTGAAGGAAGGAAAATTGGGAGGAAAAAAAGCATATACGTACAGGAAAGTTGACTATTAGAGAATTGTATTTTATTCATATTTCCTTTGGTTTACTTTTTCCAGCTAAACTACTTCACTGCAGGGAAAGTGATCGAGGCACTAAGTGGACTTGTGACAGCAACAGGTTATGAGATACTGGAGGCACAAGCCATGTGGCTTAACGCTTGTGTTCATCTTGCAGCTAGTCCCTGGACCTGGAGCTTGCTCATAGCGCAGGCCAAGGGCTGGAGTAGGCAGTCCTCTGTTAGCCTCTAGAGTTCACCTGAAGTCAGCACCTCAGCAGGGACTTCTGTCCCATTCCTCATGTGCTCGAGTCTTTCCAGGGTCTTTCCAACTGATTAAACCTTGAGGGAAATGAAAGAGAAGCATGGAGGCTGCAAAGATATAGGGAAGCTCAGATATAAGGGAATTTAGAAATCTAGAGCTTGAAATGAAACAGAGCAGCTGGACAAGATCTCGCATAGGAAGACCATAGTTGTGGTTGTTCGGGGATTTCCGTCCTTTTCCCTTCTCAGAACTTGCCAGAGCAAAGGCAAAGCCTCACTGAGAGCCCTGCTGGCCTCCCGACCACGTGCCTCACAACACTAATGGCAACTGCTTCTCTGGGATGGAGTTGCTCTGACTGAAAACGCTCTGCATAGAAAACTTGCTTACCTGTGTCATCATGCACAACCTGCACGGGGGCACATGGAGTGGGAGAGACAGATTACTTGTTTTCCTTCTCTTACCTTTAAGAGCACATCTGGCAATAAAAGGATTTGAAAAGTTTAGAGCTTGACTGATTTTTCTCTCCATACAGGTGCAATGGAAAGATGCTGAATACTGAAGTCTCCCAGGCGGAGGAGGTTTCCAGTACTGCGCAACCTCTTCAGAAGTGGGGGCCCAACGGTGTGGGCTGTTCCTCTTTCTCCTGCTGAGGGAGTTCATTCTCTTCCTGCAGGCTGCTCTTCAGTTCTGTGAGTACGCTGGTTTATCTTTTACAATATGTTTTTGTCTGCTGGACTGTCTTTTTTATCTGCAATACCCTATCTGCCTGTAGCAGAGGCAAGGCATAGGCTTTCTTCACTGTTTAGCCTACTTCACTGAAAATGAATCATGATATGAATATGCTGTGTACCAAGTGATACAAATGCAATGATGAAGCTGCTGTCTGCTGTGCTGCACTTTGCAACAACCAGGGAGACAATGAAACGCTGTTGTGCTATGTGAAATGAGGAATTGGGTTAGTGGTTACATACCAGTGCTGCCACTGCATCCGAGGCTTAGTTGACTGTTCTGGTTCAGGTGTAGGGCCATGTGAGGGGGGACGGATAGCCAACCCTCTTACCCGTTTTAAAGCTGGAGGGGGTCTGTGTGGCTTTCCAGTGCGTCCTCATTTGAGGACTGTTGCAAAACAGTTATATGATTGTAGGAATGAATTTGTAAACCACTGCTGTATGTCATATAGCCTTTTTATTTTTCCTTTTCATTTGTGTATAGCTTTTCTTTAAAGGCTAAGCATCAGTTCACTTCATAATTGCTACTGTACGCACTGGTAACCTTTTGCTGACTGGAACAGAGTCAAAGTACTATACAGATTAATTTAATGATCTACCTATTCAGTGCGATGTTTTTAGGGATTAAAGCATATAAACTGAAAATGTGAGGAAGAATATCAGTCCCCTACAGGAACCCTGTTCGTTTAGTACTCATAAAGTCACACTCTTTTCCTGTGTATATGTGCACTTCCTCAGTTGCTGATCCAAGGTGTGCTTGAGTTATAAGGTGCTCTGGCAGGCTCCACTGTTCTAGTTTGGCTCTTTTGGTCCACATTTATTTAGTACACTGATCACAAAGGGGTTGTGCTTGAGGACTATTTCTGTCCACGGTATGTCTTATATTTGTCAAAAGTAATATAATCTGTCAGAAGTCATTTTGAGTAATATTAATAAGTACTTGTAGCTTGTATACTCCAGATTCATCTTCTGTTTTTCGTGTCTATTTTGCTGGGTGGTTGCTACTTGAAGTACAAAAATAGAATAATAAATATAATATGAATTTGGTACTCCATTTAATTATGAAAATGCGATGACTTTTGGTTTGTACTTAGGTGCAGTTCTATATGGCTAACGTGGTTTAAAAATGAATTAAACAGCAAGTGGGTCTGTGCTTCCTGTCAAACCTCTGAATGCCATGACTGGGGTCGGTGTGGCTCAGGGTTGCTTTGCAGGTGTTCTCTTCAGGCACTAACTATTGCTCAGCCTTGTTATGCTTTGGGTTGGAAGGGGGAGCAGCTGCTATTGCTGATCTTGTAACAAGCCAATAATTGGCAAATTATGGTACTTATTAATTCCCTGCAGCTGTCTGAAATCTTTAAGAAATATGTTTGCTGACTACTTCAGGAGAAGCCTTGTGAAGTAGAGTGCAAGACAAATTCCCCTAGAAGACTCCCTTCCTGTGCTTAGCTATTATGAATTTCTAACTACTACCTCACTGTGCTCTGACTTGTTTCACGAGCAACTGGCTGACAGCGAGTGGCGCAGGCCAATGCCAGTGGCGCAGGCCAGGCTGGAGCACGTAGAGCAGCAGGAGGAAAGGAGTCTGGTGTATTGGCTTAGCAGGACCTGGAGAATAGGTGACCATAGGAATCCAAGGAGCCTGGCAAGATTAGGAGTGAGGATGATTTAATAAACCTTGGAGAGGGAGTTGTGTGCACAAGCTACAATATCAGGTCAGGAAACCTTTTGAACTGCTGTCTTTGCTAATGCTTTTTACAAGCCCAAACAACTTTATTTAATCAACTATTTTTACACCTGTGTTGTCCTAATGCCACATTGCCTCTCTCTAATATATTTTGCATGATTAAGGATGGGGAGCTAGGAGGCGGTATCTACTCCTGAGCTAACTGGACAGAGACATCTCAGTCAAGCTTGCCTGTCCTCAGTAGCATCTGTGCCTGGGCTGTCCTTTCCTTTGTACGGTGCCTGCCTGGTAGGCTTTGTGACTGATGGGCAGGAAGAGGGGAATACCATTTGGGAGTGTGGTGACAGCCGTAGTTAGGATTAAAGGGCTCCCTTGCAGAAGAGATTCTAGTTTCACAACAGCAAGAATGAAGCAGATAATCAGATGTTTGGTTTATCTTCTGCTTGCCCTTGATAAAGCCAGAGTAAGAAATCTGCCGCTAAAACTGCTGTTCTGAGGAGTTTGAACATCCTTTCTGTTAGCAACCTCCAAACAGACATGCAACTCACACAGCTGTGCTAATAGCAATCAGAGACTGCCTGTTACTGAAGTCCTTTTAAATGGCAAGCTGCTATTTTAACCACTTTGATAGAAGTTCGTGGTTGGCAGTCCAGACTTGCATTTGCAATCTGATTTAGGGCAGCCTAACAATGTCTGGATGCCATGACAGTGACACTTCTTTCAAATAGCTATTGGTAGGGACTTTTTTTTTTTTTTTAATATTAGAGTTTATTTTCTGTGTGCGGTTGGTGATTGCCCAGCAATTGAATGTAGTGACCTTCTGATGGTCTCTGCTGCTGTGCTGTTGTCTACTTTGAATGAGGCACCTGGGAGAAGGAACTTGTCCTCTGGATGGAAAGCCCTTATGGAAGGGCAGACATGTTTAAAATAGAGCTGCTTTGCTTCACTCCATGAGGTGGAGAGGAAACCTCTTCCAGGGGCACCAGTGTCTCTTCCTGAAGAGCAGTCTCTTGCAGCAGCCCTGGGAGCTCTGCACGCTGCCAGCCAGTGACTGTTGCAGCACACTGTGTTTGCACTCTGTGTTTATTGCTGGTCGGTTCTGCTGAAGAATATGCAATGATAGCACTGAAATATAGCACAAAGGTACAATAAAGGCCTGATTTTGAGGTTTCTTTTTACTGAGCCATCTCACGCCAGCTTGCCCTTGAGCAATCCTAAATTATAAACGCTCTTCACCTTTGCAGGGTAATACTAATTGTTAAAATGAAGGTTTTCTTTTGGTTTTGGGAAAGGTCAGGAAGGAGACAACTTGATAGCAGGGAACAAAACTGCAGCAGCTACAAGTTAGGAGTAGAAAATAGCAACAACCTTTGTCAAACTATTGCTCTTTTGAAATGCAAATAATATCAGTGATCAAAGAACTGTCGAGGTGATTTTAATGATCTCTCAAGCTGCTCTTCAAGCAGACTGATCTAGAAGATAATTCTCCATAGCATGTACTCTGATTCCCTCTTATGAGGGCTAAGTAGTGTTTTCTTTCCTGTATGGCTTCCTGCAGATCTCTTCTGATGTGAAATTACTTGTGTAGTCAGACCTACAGATTAAGCATACACAGAGAAATGATCAGTAGTCTCTGAGCAAATGTTTGCAGCAGTTTTCCAAGGAATATGCTCACTGGCCATGGCATTTGAGACAAAGGAATGCCAAATCTGTAGCTCCTCTGTAGGAAGGATCAAGCTAATACTACCTTAATTTCTTGAGAAGACATTTACCAGGAACTCAACACTTCTTGCCATGTGCGTGGCAGTTTGTGCAGGGCTTTAGCATGTTTCCAGGGCACTTGGAAGCTGCTGCAACTCTCAACTCATTGTGGAAACCCTATGTCGAAGGGCAAAGCGCTGCACCTTTCTTGGGGCAGTTTCCCTTCAGTAACTCCTCTCAAACCTCACTCTTCCTTGATGATGTCACTTTTACCTGTCTGCAGATTTATGCTTTCCTTTTCCCCAAAGTGCAATGCAGTGTGCCTTAATGCTTGGCAAGTTAAGGGAAAATGTTAACTTCATGCATCTGCTGTTTGCAATCCGCTGATTGTCCTCAGGATTGCAGGAGAAACCACACACAGGGCTTGGTTGCGTTACGTGCTGTACAGGTGCTGTGATGCGCTTCCACTGAGCTAAATAACTCATAGCCTATGGAGGCAGATATGGGCTCAGGTTCCCTGCAGCACAGCTGAGTTCGAGTACTGCTGTTGCCTTTGGGTCACTCAGAAATGCTAGGACAAGGCAATTCAGCCTTGGCACTCTCTGTACTACTGTTCCTGAGGAAACAACCCCTCTGTCACTTGAGTGGATGAAGTCAGAAGGTGTGACTCTTCTGACTCTTATCTGTGCATCTGCGTTAGTGTAGGATGCCAGCCTTTTATCTGTCTGTGCTGTTTTACAGATAGGTCTCTGAAGCCTAGAGTCTATTGAGATTCTTGTGTTGGCACCAATTATCTGATAAGACCGTGCTTATTTAGATGGACGGCTTGCTGGGTTAAGAACCCATCTTTGTTCTTTTTCTATATTGTATAAAGCCAACTGGTACTTCTACACAATCCTGTAAAATAGCTAGCGACGTAACAGATGGTGTTAGAGATGTTCTGGAAAACATAACGTTGTCATCTTTATGCTTACAATTTTCATATAACAACACTGAATGTGAGGAGAAAAGTGGTGCTGTCATAAAAATTAATGAAAAACAAGATTTCTTTTGTTTAATCTGTATGTGTGTTTATAAACTTTGCAAAGTAGAACAGCAAAGCTGATCTATAACATCTTATTGCTGAAGTGTTAACTATGATAGTTTCTTAACTGCTCGATCCTATGTGACTTTGTGGAAATCTAATATGGAAATATATAACAGGTTAAAGCAAAACTTTGTGTGTCAAGACACAGACTTAACGTGTCAAATAACGACTTATCTCAAACCATAAGAACACTTGAAAGTTGTATTTCTGTAATGCAGAACGTACTGACCATCCTTGATGCCAGCACGTTTTCTTTAGGGGCTTTGATTTCCCTACTGCGATGTCTTCCATTTTGGATGGCTCAGAAAAAACAGTGTCCCTCGGCTTGCTTTCCCCTTCACCTACACCATTCCATTACAGTGCAAGGGAGAAAAAGACCAAATAATAACCCACTGTTAAACTTCAGCACAAATCCCAAGTTTCTCTGGCATTTAGCAGAGGTGGTTATTAATGTACTATGCAACTTTTAATTGGCAATTGAACTTG